AGAAATTTAACTAGTTTTAATATCAATTTTATTTTCCATCGGACAGAAATACTTTAATTTTCATCAATTTTTATGCCAAAAAAATCATTTGACTGCGATTTTTTTCTCAGTTTTAATCACGGTGAATACGCAGGTAGAATATAAAAATAAACCATAACACAGTCACAGCTCTCTATTGCGCAGAAAACTCCGAAATTCGGTGGTGAAGTTCTGAAATATCCTGGATCATTCTCATAAATCAGCTCATAAATCACGAACTATAGAGCTTACTATGGATATAATTCATTCCAGCTTATATGAGAACAACGTCCGTAAATCGTTTTATCATGAAGAGTCTCACTATTTGTACAAGTCTGTCATGTCAGGCATATCCCCTATTTGAAACTGAAATAGTTAAGATGAAAAAATCATAGAAACATCAAGAAATACTGCCTGAACTGACAAATCATTGTCAATGTAACAGTGCAAAAGTGCTACAAGGTCTGGCTACTATATTGAACAACGATACAACTTGCTAGATACTAACACAATAACGCTGAAATTTATTCAGAAATCAAAACTCTATACTCCACAATAATATGAGAGCTCCTTTATTATTTCTATGATTTTTGCTTGTGATTTCTGACACATTTCCAGGATTCTTCAGTGTTTCATCATTTATCAAAGAGAAACATCATAAATCATCTGTTTCCATCCTTAATAGAGCAACTGCGACAAAGCCTATCATTTACGGCTCACTTTCACTGAAAAAATCTAAAGGGGGATTTCTGCATCTAAAATGTTATGGGTAAGGACAGAAGACATGCCGTGCCCCACCTTTTAAGTAAATATTACTAAGTCCACGAAATCATTTATCAACCTCCCCAACTCTTCAGATTCATTTACATCAAGCTACTTCTCCTTCATTCCAGTGTCGCGTTGTCTCTAAAATTCGCCAAAGCCGTTTCCCATCAAAAAAACCAGACTTTGAGCAAAACTAATTTCAGGAGCAGATCAGAAACTGCAGCGCCTGAGTGTACAACATACGAAAATTCCTATACATTTTCACTACAATTAGCAACATAGATAGATTCCCTATAATCTCTAAAAGCCTTATATCTCGCAGAGTTTGAAATTCCACTTGACCTTTCCTGCTAAATCGAACAAAAACATCGCTTTCCCTTGCAATCGAGTTAACCTTTGAAGCTAATCCATGCTGAACATATTCCTATATCGAATTCCAGTTGAACGCTACTGAAGAAATCTACTAAAATAAGAAATAACCAATCTTTACACGTACATCCACGATCGGAAAAATCCAATTCCGTAACAAACATAAAGGAGATTTCACTGATTCTACTAAATTTTTCACCCATTTCCATGCATGCTATTACTTTTATTACCCTTTATCAGATTTTTGGTATTTTTTAACATCATCTTCACTAATCCTACCTTCAAAAGGTGATTTTAGCAGCATTCCTTTGATGCTTTTTGTATTTTTCAGATTTCTCATGATCCGTGCCTGAGGATACAACGAAAATCATATGGAGTCAATTGTACACTGTAAAAAAAATCGTAGAATAATAAACCCAAAAATGGATGATGAAAGTGCAAAGTATAATAAGCCCTTTTTACCGTATTTAAAACTATCCTAAATCCTTCATAAACCCTTTTTTCCGTATGTGAAATTTCCATAAACCCTTTTAAATACGTTTTCTAGTGAGACAAACATCTAAAGGTTATTTTTAAAAAAGTATTTTAGATGTTATACAATCATTATTTTGCTATTGTTCCAATTCAGTTTTGCGTTTCAGATCGTATATATACTTTCATAGATTTATAATTAATTAAGTGATGTACTTACTGTTGTCACCTGGGTTCGAGCATATAACATAATCAATGCTGCCACCTTTTGAAGTCCGAAAAGCAGAAAAAAATTTATAAATAGCAGAAAATGACAGAAATTTGTTTCTGGAATAGCAGAAAAAAAGCAGAAAGTATATTTGCGATATAAAGCTATTTGTAAACTTTGTCCTTTCGTACTAATCAAGAACTTTCACATCAAATTTTGATGTTTATTGAATCAAGAAAAACAATTAATTAACAAATAAGTAAGATTATTGGAAGCATTCTTTTGGATGTATAGTTCTCATTTGATTCAGTAGCTTTTAATAAACCTCTGCTGAACATATCGTTTATCGATTTCTTCTTACTGGTTAACTCTTGATGATAATTACTGGGGATGCGTCAAAACCAAATCCAGTCAAATTCAAATCTTAGATTCGGCTGGGGCTGTCTAGATTTGATTTCGCTTTTGGATTTGAATTGGAGAGGGTTTGGCTCGAGTCGGATGTGATATACCTCCCAAAAAGATTGTAGATCTTCGATATGAAAACGCATAAAATCTCACCAGATCTTTGTATCATTTTTATTCATTTTTTCTGCCTCTATTCCATAGCGATGCTAGATTTCGCCCAACATTAAAACAATTTCTAAAATTCGACAAGATTTGATGAAAAATGTGGACAAAAGAATCAGAATTTTAGTCAAATCTTAAAATTCTTTTAATGCTAGTCGAAGTCTAGTATCACTATTGGGCAGAGCGAGAAAAGCTGACTAAAAATTTTACTAAGATTTAGACAGATTTTATGAGTTTTTACACCGAAAATCTACAATCTGTACACTGAAAAAAATAAGGTACCATGCCGAACTTTTTTTGAAACGAATTCTAAACCTTGCAAAAGGTTTCGTAAAAACCCATGACCCCTACAAATTGCTTGTTATTGATTGACGAGTTTTTTCTGGAGGTTTCGTGCAGATTTTCATGGTTTGATACGAAACTTATAAAGGTTCAGAATTTGTTTCAAAATTCGAAACTTTTTTAAGTTCCGTACATCTCACGAAACCTCTTTTTTACGTCGCGAAACCCTTTTTCTCTCTACGAAACCTTTTTAGGTTTGGTATGGTACCTTATTTTTTTCAGTGTACGGGAGGTATGTCGCATCAAACTTGTTTTACTAATCATATTGATTATTGTATTCATCAAACTACAGCAAAAAGCAATGTAAGCGAATTCAATGACTAACACAACATACGAAAGGAAGAAAAAACATGCGTAAATGATCGATTGAAGACAAAAAACACATTAGTGGTTGTTTGCACCTAGTAGAAAATAAAGATCATTTTTCTGCAATTGAAAGAATTTGAATCGAACAAAATCGTCAGCAATTATTGCCCTAATCCACTCTCCCCCGACGACTCCCCGGGGAGACCCCGCAAAATAACGAAATCCCTGGGGAGTCCCTGTCGTGAGTCCCCGGGGACTTTTTATTTGGAGGACTCCCCGGGGATTTCTCTGGGGAGAATTGGTGAAGTTTTTTAAAATTAAAAAAAAAACTTTTTAGTTTTTTTAAATTTTAAAAAATTTAGAAGAATTTATTAGTAATTAGATATTTCATCGATTTTGGTCATATAACTTCCCGGGGAGTCCCCAGTGAGTCCCCATAAAAGAACGAAATCCCTAGGGACTCCCTGTCGTGAGTCCCCGGGGATTCTTCTAGGGAGAGTTGACTAGGGTGATCACGATTCTTTTGTAATTATGGAAAAAGATCTTTGAGATGAAAAATGCTCGTTCAAAATATAAATAACGCGGTATAAAGAAAAGCAGAAAAATCTTCAAAAATCAGAAACGACAGAAAAGAAGCAGAAAAACCTTCAAAAAGCAGAATTTTTTTACTAAACGCAGAAGAGGTGGCAGCCCCGACTTAAATATGCAATTAGAAAATAAAGCACCGAAGAAAGTTATTTCCCGTAAGGCACACACTTATATAGTAGTATAATTAGTCCTTTGATTACTTTGATGCTGATTTTCACTGTGGAAGACTGACATATGAAGTAAGAAATGAATTCACCAAAAGAAATTATTTCTCGTAAGGTACACCGTTCAATATTAATATTATGAATGTTTTTTGTTACTGTCTCTCTCAAGGTTTTAATTCATAATTCTAACGAGGTATGTTCAGAGTTCCGAAAAAGGAAATTACAGAAATTGCCATTATCTTCAAAACCACGTAAAGTCAAAGAAAAGTATTTTCGGGAAATTTGAAGGACATAAATTTTGGAAATTATTGAATTTTTTCTAATAACGGAGATATCAGATTCAAAACTTCTGAATTTTCCGTAACTTCCTTGTTTTGGAAATCTAAACACTGCTGAGTTGCGACTATCAGAAGACATGAATATTCTTAAAAGTGATTTTTTTCCGCTCTATGCATATGATTGAAATCGTTTACGCCAATCGTTAAGAGTAAATAAGAAATTAGACTTTATTGCTTTATTGTTATGATATAAAATATGAAGTATAGGAGAGTATCTGTTTCTTCGATTATAACCGCTTTTCAATCTAATATGTTCCTTATTTTTTTACATGGATGACTACTTCAAATCGGCGGGAACTTTCAGAGATCAGAATTCTTCCTGGCGTACCTCCATGATTTGGGATTTCGAAGTTGTGCGACATCACGATAATAATTTTTGATCATTTTATATTTTACCAACAATACTTTATTCTTCTTCAAAGATAATACTGTCAACAGAATGATTAGATGGATGAATATATACAAGCATAAAGTCTAATTGTTTAATTCTAAATCACTATACGAACCGGAGTCATTTCAAATTACGAAATAATAGCATCTGTATGTGGGCAGATATATAATAATAACTTCATAAGATCAAAAAAAAAAGTTTCATTTGATGACAAAAATTTTTAATTGAAAACTGAGAAAGTGAGTGATCTTTCTTGAATAGTTTCGTGGCTACTGTTTAAGTGTGGAAATATCACTTTGCAACCATGTTGATCTTATAAAAGTAGAGTGAGATTATATTTCAATGGTTTATGTTCTGGTGTATAATTTTACAAAAAATTGAATCAAAAGTAAGATTTTGTGTTTTCTTTACGTGACAAAAAAATGAACACAACTTTCGTACTAGTTTCAACGGTTATAAAAAAAGGTCTTGTTTTAAAATTGCTCCACTGAAGGACGAAGATCAAGTTCTTGTGTCCATGTTGAACGAGGTTGAATATGTAATTGCCAATATGTCTCAGCAATCTAAAATAGGGAAATTTTTCATTTAAAGACTAAAGTTGACTAAGGTGCATAATAATTCATACCGCATCACTATTAAGAAATGAATCAATATCCTTGTCAGGCTGACCTAAAAAAGTAATTAATTGTTTTTCTTTTTCGTTTTAGCAGTGAAATAAGAATCCTACTTTCAGCTTGATTGGGTGAGTGAATCCCACCGTCAATAACTATATGAGCAACATGAATACCTTGTGGACCAAGTTCACGAGCCATGGATTGACCTAGTGCGCGTAATCCAAATTTTGATATAGCGAAGCCAGCAAAGTTGGCTGAACCCCGAAGACTAGCAGTGGCACCAGTAAACAATATGGTTCCTTTTCCATTCTTGATCATGCCTGGAAGAACCTATTCATATTCAGTAAAATATAAAACATATTTTTTCTAGTTGATATTAACTTCTTGGCTGGCAGCTAAAGCGCCGATAACAGTCGTGTTTAGTGCTGCTTGAAGTACTTCAGGTTTCAAATCCAAAATACCTCCTAAATATAAAATAAATTATATATAATTAGAAAATAAATAAAAGTATTCAATTTACCGTAAAAAAATCCGCTGGCATTGTACAATAATACTTCAGGATCATTATCGAATTTTTTTCGAATCGTATCAATCGCATTTTTTATTGATGCTGCATCGCCAGCGTCAGCCGTTACACTCATGGCTAGAAAAGAAAAATTGTTCGTTAATACCTATGCATATACATGATGATAAAAAAATGTGATTGATCACCTGTATGCCCGCTCTGTTCAAGTTCACTTTGCACAGGTTGTAAACTACTTTCTTTTCGTGCAATAAGACCAATAGAATAGCCACCAGCTGCAAATCTTTAAAGTAAAAATAATAATAAAACCTGATAGATAAAGCATCATACCGTTTAGCTAATGATGCTCCTAACCCAGGACCAACGCCTATGAATTAGAGTCAAGATTATGGGTATGAAAATGAATTCTTTTTAAATTCCTGTTACCAATAATTACTGCAACTGCTTTTTTTGATGCCATTGTTACAAGTAGTTCACAAATATATCTGAAATGGAAGTTCGAATTTCAACTGAAATGAATGAATCTCAAGTGGGTTGTGATACAAATTTGCAATCTTCATCAAAATTATGAATGTCTACAATACTATCAAATTTACTCATCATATGTCATGCTCATTTAACCATAAAGTTAATTGAGACGAATATAAACACTCGATAATTATACACATGTATATTTAGTAGGTCTCGAAACTATTCATACAGTTAACTATTTCCACAGTGGGAACGCCTTCATTTCTATAGTTACATATTTGTATAAAATAAACTTACTTTCGTCTACGAACTTTTTAGCTGAAAATTAATCTTTTTACTGACACTTATCTCACTTTTTGGTAGTCGAATAGAAGCGAATAATCAATTCAGAATTGTATGGTGATCGTATAATAATGATATAATATAAATGAGAGATAAACTAGATTTGTTTGAAGAATTATTGTATATTATTGAGATTAACCCTAACAATTTATTTTTACAACGTACAAACTAATTTTTCTCAAATCTTATAAAAATGTCGTAATGATACGTAACGAAACGCACGTATTTTTTTAACATTCTTTTTGTTGACCTTTTAATTGACTTAAACCTTCATGTTTCTGTCTCTAGCGTCCTCTCTTTCTTTTGGCAGCTACTTTATATCATTTTATTGCTATGCAACAAAAGAATACTACACGGTAATTATCTCAATCGTAAAAACTATCAAAAGGCAATAGACATTTTGTCATGCAATAACAGTTGCTCATAAAATGAGATAAACTTGATCATGCTATACTTATCTTTTTTTTTAAATATTTCTAACAATATCTTTAAGTTGATAAAATGTGATCCGCGAGAGTGAAAAAAAAACGGCACTGTTTAATGTTCTGATGAGTGACTTGCCTCTTATTTATACCCCTGCAAAAATTCTATGCATAGCCATGCCTAATAATGACGAGGCAGAAAAATCTGCTATGTTTAACTGACAAGGCATAAACGTAGCCACAAGTAGAAAACATGTGAGAAAAGAAAGGGAAAAAGCAACAACAACAACAAAGATGATTCATGAGGATTTTTTATGCCTTTCTACTTCCAATAGCCAGATGTCGTTGGATGTCATTGTTTTGCATTTCTTCTTACATAACTGTAGTATGAGATTCTAAATATACCTGATGAATTCGTTAAGCATTCATGAAACGAGTCACCTTTACAATAACGTTGTCTCTCTCCTCGCACTATCATTAAAGATAATTTGAGTTCACATCTAGTAATTCAAGGCCATAATAGATGTCATGATAAGTATGGATTGATAGAATTGAATTATGTATTAATTTATAGAATAAATTAAGAATACATTGTATCCTGACTATCTGCATAAAGTTTATAGGGTTTCAGTAAGGAAACGCCCGAAATTCCACCAAATTATTCTATCGATTCTAATCAAATTTATTTTCTCTACTGAATATGGTCAATCAATTTACTGACTTTAGAAAAGAAAATCGTACAGTTCAGTGAAATCATGTATGTTCGAATAATTTTTTGATATTGCTTTCAACAATTATGAATAGATGTTGACTAGTTATCATGAAGGCAATAGTAACCAGATGAAATCTTTCTAAAGCATAAACTTGAATGATGCATGCCAAAATAAATGATTTCAATACTGTACGCCCAAAACGAAACCTCGCTGAATGTGTAATATGTGAATGTACGGTCTCATCTATTTTATGATGTTCTCCCACTTGTATCCATACTCGAAAATCTTTATCAGATCTAATAAAAATAAGCTCCAGTAGTCTAATGGTGAAGACGCACGACTAAAGATCGTGTCACCCAAGTTCGATTCTTGGCTGGAGCATGAAAACATTTTTTTCGTTCGTTGATTTTTGTAAGAGTAGAATATTTTACACAATAATATGTTATGTTGCATCATTCGTTTAGCTGTTATGATGCAACATAACATACTCGCATACGAGTGGTGCTTGCAGGAAACGCAATAGAAAGCATACAGATCACGTTAATATATGGCCTTGAATCTAGACAAGTCTCCATGGCTCAACTTATTTTAATCAAAATTTGTAAACTATTATCAGCTTTATTATGTTGGAATATTATGATGAATATTAAGATAAAAGCAAAAGTTTTTATTTTTATTTCTCAAAGTTCGGTTTAGATCGCAAAACTTAATAAGAAAAACCCAAAATGGGGAAGTTGTGTCCTCTGCTCGTTAGAATTACAGGCATTTTGATGTCAGTAGTGATGCAGCTAACAAACCATTGCCGTGGACTACATTGTCTGATCATTTATTATACAGACGGTGAAGACTTTCCAGTAAACGTTGTAGAGAAAACCTCTAAAAGATCTCTTGGAGAGGATGAAATTAAGATTTCTTCATTTAATCGGTTTTCCTGGCTCCACAAACAAGCACTTATATGCTGCATTGACAGTCTCATACGCTGATACTAGACGTATATCGCCGAAGATTTTAACGACTTGCTTGATAACAAATATTTTTCTCTGTTATCCGATCAACCATTGAGTTTCTCGTATCCAATCAGCAAATTTCTCGATGAAGCTTCAAACAGTGAATTATAGGGTAGGTCGACACTCCAGACTATTGAATTATTTTTCTTATGTTCCATAGTACACGTAAAATAACTTGGAGAATAGCGGCAGCCCGTTCACTTCTAGATTTTCTCGTCATTGAAAATTGTCGAACCTTACCATCAGTGGTCTAGTACCTAATGAAGTACCATCTGTATCTGACCATCTTCGATATATATGGACATTTCACTTTAACAGCAGTTTTCAGCAAAATGCATTGTTGTGGTTTTTCTCTATTAAGTTAATGTAGCTGCTAAAATTCTATTGACTGTTCATTTAGTGTAACTTCAAGTTGTTGGTTTGGATGTAGAAAATAGTGTGGAATGAGAATCTTAGTGTAAAACGAGAAATAATTGAGTTTTTTTCCTCAAAAGTTCAGTTCAATCACCTACCCTAGTACAACGAGAGACTAGAGACAAAATGTTTCTGTATCAACACTGTCAATACGACTGATCAAATTTTAAACAGTTATTAAAAGATTTCTATAATTGATAAAGAAAATATTATGTATATCTTGGATTTATACACTATTGAACTTCGATGTACAGCTAGTAACCAATAATCGCCAAATATTTGATAAATAATTCAAGTGGAAAATCTTCCATTGAAAATATTGAGACATACGAATGATTGAATCACTTTTCAATTTTTAATTGTATACTTATAGAATAGTAACACTAAAGCGCTTACGTTCTCATTTTTTTTTGATTTATCTATATAACGCAATACATTATGTTTTCAATAAACTTAATATGAGAAAAAAATTTGAGTTGAACAACTTCTTCTGATGATTTTTCTTCACGCCTATATAACTAGTATATGAACTTTAGAAATTTTGCAGTCTTCGAGATAAAAACTAAATCGATATCCAAAGACGTCGAAAATTGTTAAAAGGAATGTTGGTTTTTGTAGAACAAAACTATATTTTAACACGCTCACGTCAGTTTTATAATATATTAATTAAACAGTTGTATCTTTTTTGGTGAACTTTTGCATCGGATATAAACAAATGCATGAATTCTTTAACGATTCAATGTTTTAGCATCTATAATGATTCTGAACCCGTCAGCCCATGAATAGATTGATGCTATTTCTTCTCATGTTTTTGTTATATAAACTGATTACAAGCTCTTTTTTCAAAACAAAAAAGATTCCTTATCTTAGCCTGCAGTCACATACTGTTTCTTTTTCTCATTTTGCTCTTACTTCAACACACCAAACCTTTTTTTGTAACGTTAGCTTCTTTTTCATACTGATTTGCTCATGGTTACAGTAAACACATCTAGAAGTGTTAGAAACATTACATGTGCTAGTTCAAGCACTAACATTGATAATCTTTTAGTAGAATTTATCTTCAGAACTTTCATTAGAAATAGCCTACAAACAATTGTCTGAAGTTTAAGAATACAGCTACGTTTTACCTGTATAACATTAGCTAATCTTATTGAAATATTATTGTTTGAAATTTTTATTTTCAAGATCATTTGTAAACAACAGAAAAATATGACATAACAAGTTTCGCACAACCATATTATGGAATTTAAAACCAACCAGTCTGTTGGTGATGTTGTCCCTAATTGGACAGCTCGTGCTAATCCTTCTACCAAACCAGAATATAATATACTTCATGGTCAATATTGTCGGCTCGAGCTATTTACTCCAACAACTAGTAGCACTGCTATTCAACAACTATACGATGCGTTCAAACCGACTGAACAAACTCATTTCACCTACTTGTACTATGGGCCGTTTGAAACAGTCAATGAATTTGCACAGTTCCTGCATACATTATTAGAGCCAAGTAACAACACCGTCGTATATTTCATCATAGTAAATGAGATAGCCGTAGGATTTATCACCTATTTGAGAGTTAATGAAAACCATGGCTCGATTGAGATTGGTCACGTCAATTTCAGTCAACAATTAGCACGCACTCGACAAGCTACCGAAGCAAGTTTTTTACTAATGCAATATGCTTTCGATTCACTTGGTTATAGACGAGTGGAATGGACGTGTGATCCTCTAAATAGAAAATCGTATCGAGCATCACTACGACTAGGTTTTCAATATGAGGGTACATGGCTCAAAATGGGAATTTGTAAAGGTCGATCGGCTGATTTATCATGGTTTAGTATTGTGGATGACGAATGGCCACATGTTAAATACGAAATACAGCGGTGGCTAAATCCAACTAATTTCGATACAAGTGGTCAACAACTAACGACATTGAATAGTGCACAAACAAATCCACGTAACAAAAAAACTACCGATTCGAATCAATGAATACGCTAATTTATTTTCGTTAGACATCTATTATATGCAATTAATGATCATTAGCCATAAAGTAGTTTTTCGTACTATTTGAGTTTGCTTATATTCATAGATTGAGAAGTGAACATTACTACCCATGTCGCCTCTTTTTTTATCAACTGTGCCGCAGTTACGCGTAACTATGGCGCATTGATCGTAGTGAAGATTTCTATAAGAAACTACGCTTAGTATGACTCAGATCAACGTAACTGCGTCCTAGTGATCGCATCCTACGAGCTGTTGTAGATATAAATGACCAATTACAAATTATTCCTCCTTATTTGTAATTGGCTACACTCGAACAATAAAACTTAGTAATAGTAGTGTTTATCACATTTTCGTTCATAAGTCATTCTACTACAAGCAGTGAAATGCATAGTTTTTATTTCTTTTAAAAATTTCCAGATTAAAACTTTTTTAGTTTTTCAATTTTTTTTTCTTTTATCATTAAATTATTTCAAATTTCTATTTCTTTTATACATTCAATTTTTAAAAATTTTTTTAGATCTTAATTTTTAATTTTTCTAGATCTTAATTTTTAATTTTCCTTAAGTTGCAAACTAAACTTTTTAGATTCTTTTAGATTTCAATTTTTCAATTATTTTTATTGTGAAAACTTTTTATTTAATAATTGTTTTTTATTTTTTATAAAAGTTTTAATTTTATAGTTGTTTTTCATTTTTTGTGCAAAAAATCTTTTAAACTCAATAAAAACACAAATAGAAGGAAACCCTAATCTATGTTATCTTTTGTACCAATTGCGACGCCATTGTGAACTATAATTGCGAAAAACTTAGGCGCAGTTATGCGTAACTGTGATTTTTCCCCCGTAACTACGCGTAACCGCGATTTTTTCATCGTAGTTGCGCGTAACTACGTCGCAATTTTCCGCAATAACGGGTCACAGTGCGATCGCAGTTTCATCGTAATGAAACACATGGGTAGCAAACTGCGATGTGTGAAGTTTTCATAAAAAAACTCATTTCAAGTCGGTTAGGTGTCATCTGAAGTATATTTTAAATGAAGAATGCTAAACTGTGTTTTTAGTCATTCAATCTTGTCGTTTTTAACGTGAATGATTGTTTATATTGTCTTTTTCTGCTTTGAAGGAGTGCTGTACTGATTTACTCTTACCGTACTCTTGCGATCAAGAACAATCAAGATTACGCTTGTATCTCAAATAATAGTAATTCCTTTTTGGTTATGATTCTTATGTTCGTTTTGAATTCCATATTCATTCAGATACCTTCCAGATCACTCAAATGTTTTTAGGGATTTTCATCACTTTCGTAATCTAAAATGAAGCAGTCATATATAGTTTATTTCTATATATTTGAGATGATTTAGGCGAGAACGAGACATCCTTGAAGATCAAGCAAGATTTACTTCTTTTTCCATTCAAATATTTTTTAGGGAATAATTGATGGAATATGAACGTACTGAGATTATGAAAAGCTACTGAAAAGTTTATAATGCTTTTTTCCACACTTGTAGTGTAGTATTCCGCATACATAACGAATGATTGCAAGGCCACTTTTCTGTGATTATTTTGATATTATGTCAGTACTTTTATTTATTTATTAAAATTTTTCATCGAATACACCCACACCCAACACGAACGATTATTCAAGTAAGAGTAAGGTAGTCTGAATAAGCAAAAAATAACAAGAAATTAAGGGCATATCGAAGACTACGATCATGCTGTTCCCTGGATTTCAAACATTTGAACTCGATGATTGTAGTGATCAGCCGCATAAAGATTTCCGTGACGATCGAACGACAAACCGATCGGTGTATTGAGTTGGTTTGCTAGAGAGCCGACACCACTTTCACCAACGAGAATCTGTCCCTCAGTTGCTCCTTTAGGCCAACGCATTATTCGATGATTGTTTCTATCCGCAACATAGAGTGTCCCGAACTGATCAACAATGATTCCTTCAGGGAAATACAATTGAGAAAGTAAACTGCCTCGACCACGACCACCAGCCACTACTATTCCTTCTTTTGCTCCTTTTGGCCATCGCATCACACGATCATTGAACACATCCGACACATAAACTGAATCATCGTGATCGACAAAGATCTTTCTCGGGCTATTTAATTGATCAAGTCGACTTCCGGCCCCATTACCACCAGCTACAATTATTCCCTGTGTTTCTCCAACTTGCCATCGTCTCACCTCGTGTCTCTCCGAATCGCTGACATATAGAAATCCTTGTTGGTCCATTGTCACTCCAAAACTAGCAACCCCAGAAATAATTGCTTCCTCAGTATTTGCATTTCGCAGTGACGATCGTACAACACGTTTATGTACATAGTCACAAATGAAGATACTATCTCTGGCTTTGTCAACAATCAAATCACCTGGATTTTTCAGTTGGCCATTTCCACCAGCTATGATTCGACCCCAAGCTGCTCCACTTTTCCATTCAACAATTCTGTGATTGTGCCATTCAGCTATGTAAAGAGTTTGCTCGTTATCAAGGAACAGACCGTGTGGATAATATAATTGATTCATTCCGCCACCTGGTCCATTTCCTCCGGCTACAGTGATGCCATTCTTTTTCCAAATTGAGTTAGCATTGATATGAGCCGAACAAAAAGGAGCTACAATTATATGAACATTTTTTAAACATTTTACACAGAAATAAAGAATGGGATTACAATGAACACATCTTCTTGATACTTATTATAATTATAGAAAATATACATGGTGTAAAGTATACGAGCCGATAGTTTTGTGTCTCCACTATATAGATTGTCAATAAATACTGTTTTTTTTATTCATTAAAAAACCGACTTTGACTTTGTCTCTTGAGAGTACTTAAGATTCGTTCTATGATCTAACCCTGGATTCATTCGAAATGATGACAATTTAACTGCGAAAACTGTCATTTATACTATTTTTTATACGATTAAGTTCTGCATCTACTGCCATTTTATATGACAATCTGTACTAAAAGCTGAATAATCTCTGGGTTACTTTCTATCTTACTTATGCAGAAATTCACAGACTTTTAATAGTACTTCTAAAACTACTTATTCATTGTTCAAAATTGACGAGTGAATGTTTAAAAAGTGTTGGAGCCCATAAGCAATGTGAAAAAATATTTATGTCCGAAATATACAAAGCTACTGAAGAGTAACTCGTCATCTTAGGCATCTTGGAAATAATTTTGGTCTCTCTATCGGCAAATCAAATCGACTCTATAAAATTCGTAGTAAATATTAAAAAACAAAACTGAATGAAGAACTAATCGTTTGCAAAACAGGACTCTAGCTCACTCGAATAGATGATCCTATTGGATACTGTTCAATTAAATCGATTCATGAAAAACAAAAGCAACAATGCATCAATCCATTCGTTTCATTATATAATGCAATATTCTCCCAAAATAGGATATGGAACACTTAAGGACTTAAACGGTGCATTAGTAATTGTCTGAGCACCTGAAACACACGGTTGTAAACGTGAATCGACTAGTCGAACGGATTCTGCTTGACTAACATCGAATTGTCTTTGGCGATACCGGATGATTGTAATCAAATTTTGTTTCACCGCCTTATCAGTAACAAATTCAAACAAAGGAACCATCTCAAGAATCTGCAGCAGAGCGGGTCCGGTGGCCAACGTTTTTTTCCATTCATAGTCGTTATCGATTTCCTGATTGCCACCAAGACGACGCTTTGAAATCACTCGCATCCGATCAGTATAATAGGTGCAGTTAGAACTAATTGGACCCCGATCACCGAATGGTATGCAGTGAGCGAATCGAGCATCATCAGACACACGAGAGCATCGTATCACTTTTGCTCGCTCTTCAATCATGCCACCAACAAGTGATCTAGTAATGATATGGGTTCCCCAGGTGTCAACAAAATCTTCATAGAGATCTGAGTCAAACGCTGCTGTTAGTTGTGAAATTGCACGACTTGCAAATTCATTAAGCTGAACAGCTGAGGCATTTAATGTTAACGTGTACAGACCAATTACGCGTTGAGACAGTGCTAAAGCCTCTTCACGGCTGAAGTAGCTAAAAACAAATAAATTTTAAATTCATTGAAATTTCACAAACCTAAGTCTATAGGTGGATCTGTTTTGCATGGATACTGGCAAATGTATGCTAGATTCCGCAATTATTTCTGATAGAAGTAAAGATTATCCACTATTAACACAGTAAAATCTCGGAATATTTCTTCTTCAAACGCTGTGAGATATTTCATATCGATTTTCAAACGTATTCAACAGGTTACGAATTAATATGCCTGATTACTCAAGACTAACTTCTTGTAACCGAGCACTTGATCAATTTCTTCATTGATTATTCAAGTGTTAGCAGCTTCAGTTCTGGGTATCTAATATATCTCCTAAATCTAATTCTGGTTTTTATTACTAACAATCAATTGCGAGAAACAAGCTTCTTCCTAATACATAAACTAATGCAAAAGTTTTAATGTGATAAAACTGGCAGAATGCAAGTAACTTCCACTGCCATTATTCATGCTAAAGTTTTCAAGATTCGAGTTTTAACAAATCGAAGCGTTTCTGTTAGTTTCAATTGTCGCAAGCATAAGAATTATAGAAATCCAAGGCACTGCGAAAGATGGATACTCTCAATTATACTCACATCGTAAATGGAACTCGAACAGCGGATCACAGACATTCATCACCTACACCTTCTACTTAATTTTCTACGATTTCAAAAAGGGTATCTAATCGATTTCATAGATTTATGTCTCAAGCTAATAACATTAGGTTTTTCTATTTTTAATTGTCATATCAAGGATTTCTTTAAGATTTTTAATAGATGGAAGATTAGAAATCAGTTTCAGTTCTGCGTAGTGAAATAATGTACTTACTTCTCGAAATATTCAAGCATTTCTGGCCGACGGGCTAATTCACCACCACGAACTTTGCCATCAGCAAATGTTTGCCGCCATGCTGCACTTAACTGTGAAGCATTGTGAAAAATGTGAATACGAGTAGTATCGTAAGCGGCTGCAATTCGATTGGCTGATCCCAATGTGGCCTCATTAAATAGATCAAAGATTTCGCCTGTATGACCATCAGTCCATGTACGACTGCCTGTAGATGGATATGTTAATTTTACCACTGGAGCCTTCATTTGGCCAGTAGCTCTATCAACACTGATGCCAACGCCGCGTGGCAATCTCGTTAATTCTAAATCAAAGTTTCTGCTAGAACGATGTAAAGGATTACCATCGAAGCATCTCATTCCAGTGGTACCAACAAATGGACAAAGAGCAGCCCGTGCTTCTTCAGTGAATTGAAAAACTGATGCGGTAGTTGGAGATAAAAATGTATACTGCACACAAAATGATATAATATTAAAGATTACGTACACCGATAGTGGCATCTAACAAAAAAACAAAAGGCATAAAACTAGTTTAGTCTGATATCAGCAAATCAATTTTGTTGCACAGCAGTTCACAAGATTTTACGTGGGAGAAAAATGGCAACTGAAAGGAATTACAATGGAATGTAGGTGAGGAAGTCGTTAGATATGTTGGGGTATGATGGGTGCGTGCCAATCTTGCATAGAAATGGAACATTGCTGGATGACAATGGTATTGATGAGTATGAAGGGCAATATACTGATGACTGAAGTTGTAGCGCTCAGTGGAAGTATGTACTCGTGAGCACACTCGATGAAGCCGTCAGTTTCTTTCCTCATGCACAATGCATGGCGAATTTTTCGGCTTCTGAAATTATGAAATCACGGAATTCAGCTACGACTACAAGTCCTATTAAATGCAGTGAAGGTAAAGATTGGGACCAAATCTATGCTACACACTTTGCATGGATGTAAATATCAAGTTTTGAAGGAAAGGTTGAAATCTACGTAGCTATATCTCATTACTTTTCTTTCTTCAACATGTAAATAGGTGGCCAGCGCCCTAGCATTACCATAAATTTAGAATAGTTAAAGAGGCATTAGAAAATGTATCGAAAATGATCCAAGCATAATGAGACATAAAACTTGATCGATATCGATTCCGCATAAATTGTTACTGATTTGCTGCTTGGCTCAATGAATGATGCAAGTTGGAAAAAGTTTACAATTAAAAAATTACTTCATGTAGGTTGCGACTGCCAACTTCACATATCTTCATTCTCAAGAAATAGTAGGGGAGGATAGACTATAGCAAGATGAGAAAACTTAATGAAGGCAAAAGTAAATTGAGAATATACAGTTATATACAAAGTTAACTACACACTAAAATAATAAGTGTAGAATAAAAAAAGGCCTATTTTTGTTTATGCACATATTCATTAACCCTTTTATTTTATGGTTTTCTGCAAAGCATATGTCAGTAGATATTTGTTCGAAGGTCTTTTGAAAGTATAACGTATAAAAAACTTTCCTAACATTTATTAAACAAAAGAGTACAATAGAATGGGGTAAATACATGGAAAAAATCAAGTGTCAGTTGGGCCTGTCACAACTTGGCCAGTTTGGGAATTTTTTTTCTGTTTTTACCGAATAGGTAGCTAAATATCAGCTCTACAATCTCAATAGAACTAATTATGACAACAGAGAAAGTTCAAGTATGATGTTAATTTATTTTCGATACATTTATAGGTCCTGATCATAAGTCCTCATCGTCTTGAATATATAAAACATTTATCGTTTGGTACTCAAAATAGGTTTAAGAAAGACTGTAAGTATTAAGGTTGTAAGTAAAATGAAAATATTTTCATAACGAGCCTCTTCATATTAGCGTTGATCTATGGAACAAATTAATTTTTCATAATTGAAATTGTTGTTCATTTTTATTTAAAAATCAAAATAACTTTATATATGCAATAGAGAAAGATGAAAATAATACGTGTAAATATCAATTGATGTCAGAAATATTATGACATTGAAATTTGTTTATTGGCATTAAATTTTGAAGTACTATAACATTGCTATTAAGAGGAAATTTTTGTAAAAAATGTATTTTTATCTGTTGTAAGATTCTTCAATAAATTCTTCTTCTTTTTTTGTGATATTTTTGTGGGTTTCCGTTTTTTCTTCTTTTTCATGCTTACTAATACTCATGCATTAAGATCGATTATTGTGGTTCCAAACTCATGAGATGAAAGTCTTTTTTTTATAAGTGATTCTTTTGTTGTTGAAGTAAAGAATTTTTCAACCAGCATTTCAATAAATGATCGAGAATATCCATGTTTAAAAAATAAAAAATGACATTTATTAACAAAGAAAATTTTATCTGATTTTTTCCAATAGAATCCATGAATGACGAAGTAATAATTGGACCAACTGATGACAAAGTTAATGGAAGAACATTTGAGCTTGCAATAACATTTTTTGGTTGATTATTGCTTGCCGTTTTAGTTGTAATCGGTGTTCCCTTATTTAATCCGGATACAACAGCTTGTGTATTTTCAGATGGACTTGTTTAGAAGATTCTTGAAATATGAGTATAATGCATACTGACAAATTTAGAAATAATCAAATCTGAATTACTTCAATTATGTAAATTGAGTGTTGATGAAAATTTGGTTAATTTATCTGATTTAACAATTGTTATAGGATTTGATATTTGATATCGATTTCGGGGTGCAGGCTCAAATTGAACAGAAAATGATAGCTGACGAGAATTTGTATTTATCAAAGATTCTGACGCATCAACACTATTATTAATCAAATTTATCATTCCGAATTATGCGTGGATCATACGGAAAATACCAGCTTTTGGAAATGATGATGAACAATGAGCAGGTATTAATGCATAGTCATATAGTTTAGCAAATAATTTGATAAAATTAGATTTATCTAGTGGTTTATGCCCGAAGGACATTAGTACATTCCCGCAAGAAATTTTTCTGTTGAGTTTTTACATACTTGAATGTGTAACTATCTAATTGTTGCAATAAATATGTACTATGAGAAATTAAGCGTAATATATGAAGTTTGTGGCTTTCCACTTCATACGTCGGTTCTAAAAACTAAAATAAATTTTATCGAAAAAGTTTAACGTGAAACCGATGAAAAGATTCAACCTTTTGAAATTCTACTTGAAACTTTTTCTCAGTAGAAAATAATGTGGGTTAGAAAAAAAAACTTACTGATGTGTATATATTGTTCTTATTTTGATCATCGCGAATTTCTTTTTGGATTCTTTATCAGAGTCAAATATCATCAACATTGAAAATATGACTTCCTTCGTTAAATCAATCCTATATTTTCTTTGACATTGTAACTTTTTAAATATTCTTCTGTATACTCATTTTGTTTTTATTCAAATTCAAATTAAAAATATTCGTATAGTGAATATTATGATTTGGAATAAAAACTTATATTTATTACGCCTCGATCGTCGAAGCTGTCTTCTCCAGATGATAAGCATGCATGTATAGGTATTCTTTTTATTTATTTTTCTTTTCCTTTCTGTTCTAGTTTGATTGTGGGACGGGGGAAGAAGACAAAGAGCCCACATCCCCTATCAGTTTCAGTCTAGTCGTTTCACTACTATGCTAGAAAAGAAAAAGTAATAAAAACGATACCTATACATTTATGTACATCATCTGGAGAAGACAGTTTCAACGGTCGAAACTTCATAAATAAACTTTTATTCCAAAAAGTAATTTTCAGTTTACGTATATTTTTATTTTTATTTGAATAAAAACAAAAAGAATATAAAGAAGAATATTTAAAAATTTACAATATCAATAACCACATCGTTGTTGATGAGCCCAAATCAATGTTTACAATAAATGATACAGCTTTGTAAACCACTCATTTATTATTTGTTATGTCAGACATGCTCCTCTTTGTTTTATACACATGATCCCATCTTTTGACGAACCCAAAATACCATTCATTAGTGAGTGCATCAAATTGAACGCATGATTCTAAATCCATTAAATGAACCTACTCTGTTAAACATCTCGTAACATATCTGGAGGATGTGATTTTAGATGTGAAACAGTGCGTGTATACGTCCTGTGGTAGCCACTCATATCCACACTCAAAATCTAAAACCGAAATTCTTCAACTACCTTCTGAAAAAATCATGTATAATATCATCGTATCGTAATCTGGGATAATAGAACTTTAATGAGAAAGAATGACAAAAAAGTTAAAAGTTTTGATTGAACACTACAACAGTTTCAAGAACTGAATTAGTATAGACACTCGAATAACCGAATTCTGTAATGTTTTTAGAGAGTACGGGTTAGCGAGTTTAATCGAGATCTGGTGCCAATGCAACGACTTGATAGCCAGCTCGTTGCCAGTCTGGTGTCCCAATGCCTTTTCCGATTAAGTTACAAAAGAATCGATTCGCTGCCTCTTGAATTTCTTCATCTGGGTGATCCATAAGTGTTTCGTTCAAATATTCTTGAATATCTTTTTCCTTGTTCATAGCTACATACTCGGTGCAACCAATATTTGCCATTAAGTTGACGACCGTAAGAATAGACAATCTATCTTGAAATGATACTCCCTCTATTAATAAAGCTTTAAAACGAGCAATAGCATGCTTTGTGGTTAAAACAGGTCGAATCCCTGGAATGAATGCAGCCATATTTGCTAGAACACCACAGGCTCGCCAAGAAACATCATTGTAACCCGATATTAAAGATTCAATTAGAGCATTTGGTCCTATGTACTGATACAGAAAGCTTTGTAGCTGCGCATCATCTCTTCCTGATAACCAAAGAGCTCGTAAAAATAGTATGCGAATTGTTTCATTTTGATGATTTAGCAATGAGTTCATTCTTATCGATTCAGTTCGTGATAGCAATGCACGAATAATCATAGTTGAATGCCTCGGAGACGTGTGACCAAGGTCGCCAACAAATTTGAGAACAGCTTTGCACTGGTTGTCGGTACCAAATAGAGCTTGTTCAAGAAGAACATAGTCCGGAGAAAAGTAGTTCATTCCTTTTATTTGTTCGACAAGAGCACTCTCGATAACATCATTAGCATCAATAAATTCATAATCGATTATGAAAACTGGTAAACATTGTTCTTTCCTAAATATAGCCCATTCCTGGTTCACTGGGCCTTCCATCATATTTTCGTAATGAATCGTATGATATCCTCGTTTATGAACAATTTCAGGCGTTAGTTTCAGCTCTGATTTGTTTGTTTCCTGAACTTTACCAAGTAGGCAATCGGTTAGAACGAGAATATTTTTGCCATACTCAGTTGCTTTTTTGCCATGAGCAAAATAAACAGCCTTTCCGAATTTGAGCTCCCCTTCAGCGTCATTGTCTGGATTTCGATTGAAAGAAGTTGGAATTAGAAATCCTTCCGATGCAATTCCTGCGGCAAATTGTGCTTTTGTACCATGCAGTAAAGTTACGACGTGTGCGTCGCTGAGGGTAATTTTACACCTCTCAAATTTGGCCCTCAACCTAGTATTCTCGACTTCTTGTACTGAGTTTATCTTAATCCTTTGGGGCGAATTGCCAAATCTGTAGTAAGAATCTTCGACGAAATTAATAGCTCTTTTTATCTGTACACTCTGCTTTGGTTCGAAACATTGACTCACTGTATTCATAGCTTGATAACGCCAAACCTTTTTCCATTCTATGGGTACCTTGTGTACACTATCGCATGTAGGACAAATAACTTCTCCAGCAGCATTCTGCCGAATGCATATTCCTAAGCAATGAAGACAGAACTTGTGTGTACATGGCAAGACCATTGGATCCTTTAATTCTCCTTGATGAATAGTACATTGGAATTCTTTGCTGCTTTCCCCTATAAATAAGATCAGCAACTTTTAAAAGTGGCCATAATTGATAGTTTTAAAGTATGTATTTAAAAGCATATTGAGATGATAACAATATAATCCTACCTACAGATTCTTGAAACGCTCATTTCACTTTATCGATAACGTCTAGCAATAAATTCTACGATTAATATTTGATCAATGTAACGAGTGATTCATAATGAATGTTCGCGTTTTACATGTCATAATTTAGTTACTAAATAAGTTTTATCAAAAAACCTAAATATGCTAACCACCCCCCACAATAAAAGACCTCTGATCTTCTATTATGTTCCAGCGTAAAAGTTTTCCGGGGGGTGTTGTATTAAGAACCGCATTTTTTCCTAATATTTAATTTAAAAGGTTTTCGAGAAAACTAAGCTAATTTTTAGGAATTTAAGGGTGCCATTATAACTGTGAACACATTGTCTTGATATTTTCAGCTTAAAATGCTAAGAATCAGACATATTTTGATGAAAAAACGCTAATTAAAGTTCGTGATTAGCAAAAAATTAATTGATTAAAGGGGGTGTGACGGCATCTTGTGTTGTCACGTGTCTTGTTTCTGATTTCGTGCGAGTTTCTCGCTATATGTTCCTTCTCTCTCTATCGTCTTTACCGTTGTTTCTTGAAATTGGATTATGTTATGTTTGGCACGTCTAGTTAGTTGATACATTTTGTTCTCTCTATGAGAGTGTGAAAATTATTGCAAGAGCTTAAAAACATATACAATACATTATTTGATTCTATCTAAAATATCAACTATTAGAAGAATCATTATTCGTTTTTAATCTTAAAAATTGTATGAAACTAACGAGCAGTCATCCAATTCCGCAATGTTGAACATTCGGGAACCAGTTCCACCCCGGAATCAGTTCCGTCGATTCCGGAATTAGGACAAATATGAACACTGTCCGATTCCGGAATTAGTTCGTCCGATTCCCGGAATTCCACGGAATTCAGTCCAATTCCGAAATTAGATGAAAGCGAAGTCACTGGGAATTCCTAGGAATTACACGGAATTGCTAGTAATTCCGGAATTACAACTTATATCACTATTCTAGCTTGCTTACCCATTTCGTCATGATCCGATTCCGGTCCGGAATTCCGGAATTAGGTCAATAAGGAATCGCTGGGAATTAGACGGAATTCCGTTCAATTCCTGTTCGACTCACTTCCCGGAATTCCGTACCGGAATTGCATGGTTTGGGTGTTGCCATAAGTGTGGGTGTGGATGTTAGTGTAAGTGCGCTGAATTCCAGAACTGTTGGGAATTAGGCGGAATCCGTTTGAATTCCGTGTAATTCCGGAATTGAATCGGAATGGATAAACGGAATTCCGAGAATTAGATGGAATTAGTCGGCAGCGATTCCCGGAATTTCGGAATTGAGTCGGAATGGATAAACGGAATTCCGGGAATTAGATGGAATTGGTTCCGTGAGCGGAACTGGTTCCGGAATGTTCAACATTGCGGAATAGGATGTATTCTCAAACTAACATTGCCGAATTAACTAAACATCGCAGAGGGTCTTCTTTTATGTCGGACAAACTTTTTCTTCAGGGAGTCTTCTAATATGGGAGTGGAGGGCTTAGTTCTATTGAGTCAACTTTTAACTGAAAATATTGACCACTCTTCATCACGGAGTATAGTTCGTAACATCTAGAGCAACATCACAATGACTCGCTGAGTAGTAGAGGTAAAGTCGAAGATTAAGAGCAGTAAAGATATTGTGGAGGTGGTGAGTCCTTTTATCATAAGCAAGGACTTTTTGGGCTTGAGTCAAATTGAGATCAAGACGGTCTTTTCTTCAGTTTTGTTGAGAAAAACGCGAAAATTGTTCAATTTTTAGTATCTGTGGTTATTTTCCCACAGTAGTTGCTTGGTTAGTCACAACGGAGATTCGAGTGATAATAATCCAACTGCGATATTTATACTTTTCTAGGTCTTTGTCATATCACTTCAACTATATAGTTCTGAGTATTGCAAGGGATCTTTGCTAAATGCGAATTATGATTTATATAAGCATGCACCAAAACCAATAGTCGTTTTGAATTTCAGCTTTCAGAATGGTTTTGGTTTTAAAGTTTTGTTTATAATGATATAAGTTTTGGTTTTGGCTTGGAAATATAATCTTTTGCGACGGATCTCAAAAGACAACGAAAACCTCAAAACCAAAAGTTTGGGATTTGGTACATGCCTAGATTTATATATGGAGTTCATTGAGATCGGATGACAACAAAGAAGTGATTCATAGAACTTCCGTGTTTACTCATTTGTGAAACTGAAGATCATTTTATTATATACTGATTCATACCCACTTCTAATCAGTACCAACCACAGTTTACTCGAAAACTGTAGTGAACCATATTGATCAGTTATTTGCTCAAGTCCTTATTTGGCATATGTTTTTGACTGAAACAAGAACCTATTGCACGGTTAATGTTTTTAATAAGAATCTTTGAGAAAAGTGCTGTGCTACACTCTAACTCCAGCGGAAGCATTCGAGAGTACTTACCTAATCTGCTTTTTTGGACTGAGTGTTCAGTCAATTGAAGGTCACCCAGTGTCGATGTCATGTCTATTTCTGCATCATCAGTCATTTCTCGCAAATGAACCACATGCAGACCACCATCATGATCCAGAGCATTGTTTTCTACTCGCAACCGAGTACCCGGACCCAACACCACTTCATTTTCATTTGGATAATTTGTATATCCGCAAATGTTTTTGCCATTTACACTCTCGATCAAGAAAAGAGTAGAGTTAGCACCAAGAAATTTCTTAATGACACTGACTGTTGATGAACAAGAACTTATACCCCACCAAGTGATCATTTCATTCTCCTTAAAGCGCTTGCTAATGTCTTCGAAGACACCGCGCCATACGCCTTTTTTTTACAGATGGTAGTTTTTCAAGTGCTGATTCAAACAGTCTCAGAAAGGGAAACCATGGCTTAACAGCATCTCTATCATCCGATCGTAATGCTCTATTTAATACACGATATAAGCTGTTATCGCCCCATTCCATTGTATACAAATATACCGCAGCTGATTCATCACGGGTAAGACCATGTTCCGAAGGAAAATGGCAATCTTGTTTCGCCACTTTGGTGAATCGATCAAGCCGGTTAATTTGACATTTGATAGGCTCCATTGTCTTTTCAAAAGGCCAAATAGGATGATCCCAATATCCATAGACTGATGGAAGTCTCTTATTTTCATAGTCTACATCGGCAAATCGATTCATTGCTGTCTCGTTTTTGCTATTCAATAGAAATAAGTTGACTCAAAAAGTTCTATTTGTAGTTAGAAAGCAAACAAATGGTTGCCGGATAACGTCCGGTATCTGAAAAGAAAAAAGTATTATTGTGCTGCTATGTTTTGTATTTTGAATCATAGAAACACGGCAGAAAGGTTCCTCTTCACTTCTTGGCAAGAACAGAAAGTCATTCTTTTACTAAAAACAAAGAATTCTATGACGACGGAAGAGAAGTTCTCGATAAAAACATTCTTTCTCCTAAAAAACGACCATGTGATGCGCGAAAAGTAAAATTCAGGCGAAGATTTTTCACCTTTCCATCACATGTTTTGACTGGCTTATTTAAGAGAATCATCGCGAGTAACAGCTATAAAACAAGTAAAAATGGGCATGAGTGTGGGTGTGGGTGTAGGTTGAGCGTGAATCATCATCTTAATTTTGACCCACGCCTACACCCGCGCAACGTATTCGCTTACTAATTAAATTATCTTCGCGCCACTAAAAATTGATAGAATTTATGCTTAAAATAAGCTAATAAAATATTGATTCAAAAAGATTTAGGTTCATGTCAACTTTTTTCTTAATTTAGTACATCCTACTATTTAAAAAATATATATAAACTAGCACGTCTCGTTGCGTGATAAATGTTGTTCGTGATACGTACTCCAAGTTTTTATCTTTTGATATACTCTCACAGTTTTAACACATGCAAATAAAAATTTAATAGAATATATCAAGATAAGAATGCCCGAAATATTTGGTATCTCTTTCACTGTATAATTGTCATTCTCTCAAGAAATAGATTTGAGAACTCCGGTGAGAACCAACATCAGTTCAAAATAAAATGAATGTATTGTATTAATTTCTGTGATCATAATACAACACATCGTGCTCAAACATCGATCTATTAAACTTCAGTATATAATTGTTTTTCTATTTGAAAGTACATGCTAAGCAACACTCGCGAAAAACTTTTTTCTTCAAAAATCTTAACTTTCGCTTAAAAAAAAGTGACAGTTTCAGTATCAAACATTAGCCGATAACGATCAATTGAAAATATTTCAATTTTCTTTGATGTATGTTATCTTATAGAACTTTAAATTCATAACTTTTGATAGAAAACTATAATGTATACTCTTTCAACAAAATAAATGATGTAATAGTTTCCGATATTCAAACACATTAGACAGTATTACTCAGAGTTTTTCAGTGGTAAACAGAGTGCATGAAATCTCAGTGAAAAAATAAAATTCTACCTGTTTTTTGTTTGTTAAAGTTAAAATCAACTTTTAGAATTTCACCTTCTTTCATTGATTAGTGATGGAGATTCATTAGTTAATTTAGAGAAAAAAAACATGAATGAATATTTATTGAAAGAATGCATGGAACACCAAAAGATCGATACTTTACGCTTTACCAATTATTTCGTTTTCTTTTTCTAAATGCAGTATCACGAAAAATCTATGATACTGACGTCAAACCTCCTTATCACTGGAGTTACAGTTCAAATCTGAAAGTCGATAGAACATATATATGAAATATTAATCTTAAGAATGCAGAATAAATCTATTTTTCATTTAAATTAAAACACATTCATGTCGTAACCTTCCGGTTTATAACGATCGGAGCATCTCTAATGAGATAAAAGCATAGTTTTAGTACTCAAATAAAAGAAATTTATCAATGAAACTATGATTTGGCTTGGATTATCCAATTAAAACATTATGCAGCACTCTTTATCCAAGGAAAGTATAGTTGTACACCATCATGCTATTGCAACATCAAAAATTGATATTGAACTACGATTTATGCAACGTGAAAGTAATAGCTTGATGAGAGAGTTCAGTAAATCATTGTTCTCTTGCCAATGATTCTTAATAATAAATCAGTTCGGCGCACACTAAGAAAAACTATTAATATGATTATGTATAACATGCAGTTAAAAAGATATCGCATCCATTATCTGTCACGAGTTCTGTCAAAAAGTGCGTTATCGCTCATTTTTATTCAATCTTATTATCATGTTTTATGTAATAATCCGACATCACAAGGCATTTTTTTACTGTTCAACAAGTCAATTTAACTTTGCGTGAGTTGCATTGCTATCTATTCAGATTTTCTATCTCTCGCTATATTAATGAATATTTTCAAAACAAAACCAATACCCGTTCATCGTAGTTGTTTTATCACTTTCGTAAGATCATCATTCGTTATTGCATTTTCCGATAAAAAATGTTAATCAAGTTGTATTTTGAATAATGCAGATAAAGAAAGTGTTTATCTTTTTGTTTTGAAGAATTTAAAGGGAAATTGAGATTGAAATTTAATCAGATTGTAATTACATGGAGTGTCTCGTATGAAATGTCATTAATTTGACAGTACGATTACTACAAGCATCATTCAGACAATAAAGGATCAGAACATATTTTTTTAATTATTTTTCTTGAGCAAATTTATAAGTTTGTATAAAGCATTTAATGCTCTTTCTTCGTATAAATGCACCCTAACTATTTGCTTTGAGTACTCTCTTAAGGATAGACCTTGTCGCGATCAGATCTCTAGATGGCAATAAGACCTTATCATGCAAACCTATAAACAAAACACCAGCTAAGTATTTAATACCCTGTGATAGAAGAGTTTTCAAGAATCGCTTTGCATATCGAAACTAGATGGTATTCAAGTTTTACTCGAATACGAAATGGGATGCGAAGCTCGAATCGGATCTTCACGGAAAATCTGCAATTTAGAGAAATCTTGAATACTATTTATGTCGACATGATGAAATTTATCACTCAGAAAACTCCATTCTTACTTAGCGATACATTCTTAAGGATCGATTTCGTTTGATCGATTAATTATCTCCATGATTCATTATCTTAGATCAGCTGTAAATGAATAGACTATAGTGGCTAACATATGCTGATGACGTCACTTTGATTATCTCTTCATAAATTTCTTTCATTTTCGTCATCTTGGAACCGCATTTGTGAGTAAACAAAACGTCCGATGAAAAATTAGAAAAACTATTCCTCAAGTTCGATCTCGATACTTCGATCTCACGTTTCAACGAATTTTCTACGATTTTCGGTTCTCGAGATCATAGCGACGCAAAACGTCGACTTTTGATGCGTACGTCAAGTAAGTAAAAAATAATAAAAAATAAAATAAAAGAAACTCGCGACGGATTACATAAATGCTTCTGCTTCGCATCGCATTAATTATCTATCTTCCATTAACTTGAATCACTTAAAAAACACGATATAACATTCTTCTACTTTTATAGCATCGTTTCTGCCGGCAATAGTCAAGTCATCTAGCATAGAAAATAAACAAATTATAAATGATTTTTTTTCTTGATTTTTATCTTACTCTATTTATTGATGAAAAAAGTCACGATTCCTTGTCAGCAATATTAAGTTTTCTCGATGTTCCTTTAACATCAAAACTTTCCTTTTTGTTTGCTTGCTAAAGATTAGGATTCCCCTTTATTTTCATTAGTTATCTACGTCAGAGGTAGAGATTTATTTTGTTTTAAAGAAATCCAACAATAAATTCACTAGTCTACTACGCACTAATCTTTTTCTCTCAAATGAAAAGTTATTTAAACATCTAAAATATTGCAGTCAACTAAAGTCTGTCACTGTAGATTCAGACACATAAGATTACTAAAAGAGATAATACACACATGAAACATTAACAACTTTGTGGACTATTGAGACTCACGATAGAGAAACAGGAAGGTTGGTGGTGAGTATTTGAAAACTTTAATGACACGTCCAAAACATTGTGAAAGCAATAGACTGTTAAATTGAATCATGGGAAATTTTGCAAGTATTGTAATGCATACTTTCAATTGATTTTTCAAGCGAATGTACCAAAAAAGAATATATCAGAGTCAACCTTTTACAAAAAAAAGTTAAGAAAATATCTTTGATAAGTTTATTATCTATAATGACTCGATTCAGTTTCATCTATAGTCGCAATGCATGTATTAAAATTTTTACGGAAAACATTTTTCTCCAGTCATACTAGATATACTCTGCAGTATTTATTTGAGATAAAACAGTCGTCTTTCTTTTTTTGACATAAAAATGTTAATTTTTCTATCACAGTTTTATCCGTAGTTGCTTATATCTCTAGTATGATATCGCGATATGCATAGTTTTTGCTTCTATAAAACTTGTATACTTAGTTTGAAACTTTGAAAATGTTCAGAAATACGAAGCAAATACTGATACAAGTATTTATTTCGTTTAGTATTTAAAATATTCTTGTCCTATTCTATTCATTAAAAATACAAGCAAGAATGTCGACCATCGCTACACTTAATTTTATTCAACTACAGCTTACCAATGTATTGGGGGCACTTATGGTTGTTGGTGTTTTTGGAAATATATTAAATTGTCTTGTATTTCTTCGAAAGAGACTACGTTCAAGCCCATGTTCAGTATT